AAATTTACCCATGGTATTTTCTCTAAATTATTGTAAATTTAGAACAGATTTGTGTTTCTAAATATTTCAAATTGTTCTATCCCAGGTACATTACTTTGCATTTGGCAACACCAAATTTCTTCTGTCATTATGCTGCTCCTTTTCCAGGTTAACTTTTTAACAGGAATCTATATTGTAGAGAGGGCTGGTATCACCCAGTTGTCTGACTCTTCCCATTATAAGACCCTGTGTTCAGTTGCTCATAACTTTGCCAAACTTTAACCATCTGGATTTTCCTTGTTGGATGTCTTTTTTGAAATTTTTTGGAAAGTTTCAGCCAATGTGATTCAGAGACCAGAAGACAAGGCAAAGTGCAGCATGGTATCAGGCCAAGGTCTCTGTAGTTGCCCAGACAACTTCCTGGGGCAACGCCTGGGGATAAGTAGGGACACTTGGCCAATTAGAGAGCTGCAGGGTACTGTCACTCTGGGTCTCATGGGAGGTACTTCCTGAAGCATCTATTCTCTACAGTGCTCCCTGGCTATGCCTTTACAAGGCCTTCTGGTGGCATTGTGGGAATATTAGTTGCTCCAGGTTCTGCAGGCCAGGGTTCTACTCCCCAGGTCCTTACACTATCAAGCAGTCTGAGTAAAGTACCACCACTTCAGCTGGTGTACCATGCAATGCTTTATTGACAAACTATCACAAGAGTAAATTCCAAGCTATCCTAGCATAGGCAGTATTGGATACTGTAGATATGGCCTTCAGGGCAATGATGGCAACAGTTATGATGCATCACTCATTGTGGCTGTCCTCATTCAGGATACTTAAGAAGCAGCAGTCCATGGTTGAAGATCTACCCTCTGAGGGATGCTCTTTGTTCTACAAGACTGAAGAGGCCATGAGAAATTTCAGGGATCCTTCGGATCCTTAGTGTTCTACACCCGGCCTTCAAGCAACAGCAGTTCAGGCACACTGTGCTTCCACTGCATGAGAGACAGCTTCCTTGCTACCAATATAGGCCACCTGAGCACACTAGAAGGAGGCAAAGGTTTTCGAGAAGTAAGTCCTTGGGTGCAACTACCACTCTGTTCCAGCACTCTCCTGCTTCCCCAAGGCAGTAAATTTGACTTTGTGCCCAAGGACAGCGTACCTCTTGTTTCTCAGCCTCTGATATCTCCCCGCTTCCCTTCCTTGGCAACCATCAGGTTCATTTCCATCACACCTGGTCCAACAACATCGCTCATCATGGGGTGTTGGATGTGGGTAGAGATCGTCTATATGATACAGTTCCTTTCTTATCCTGCTACTCACCTCATCCTCCCCATCTGTATTCAGTGATTCCTCTCAATCGAGAGGCACAATCCCACATAGCTCTCAGTGCAATAGAAGAGGTGCTCCCCCATTAAAGAGGGAGAGGGTTCTGTTCAAGATACTTTCTCATTCCCAAGAAGAAAGGGGAACTCTGGCCAATACTGGATATCAGAGACCTGAATGTTTACATCAAGAAGTTCAGATTCAGGATATCTCTCACTTTGATCTCCCTTGTCTAGATCAGAAGGACTGATATGCTGCCCTTAATTTCCAGGATGCGTACTTTCACACTGCAATACCCCCAGACCAGAAATGCTACCTGAGTTTCACTGTAGACAACAACCATTGCTGATGCTAGGTTTTGCCATTTGGGCTTTCTGCATCATCGGGGTATTTATCAAGTGCTTGGTGGTAGTAGCCGCATACCTCAGAAAAATAGACGGTAAGGAATTCCCCTGTCTAGATAACTGGTTGGTCAGAGGTGGAGCACCTAGCTGGGATGCAGAAAACTCTGGCAGACAGCCTCAGCAGACACTTTGCCCGAGAACACAAGTGGAAACTAAACGACTTGGTGATGTGGAGTATTTTTCAGCAATGGGGAACCTTGTTGTAGAATCTCTGTGTCTGATGAGAACAAGAAATGCCCGGCCTGCTGCTTCTAATGGCCCAAGGCCAGAATTCCAAAGGGGATATATTTCTTGTCCCAAGCAGTAATGTACATTTCCACTCATCCACTCTTACTGCAAGTCTTGAGAAAGATCAGGCAGCACAAAGTGACAGTAACCCTGGTAGCTCCCATGTGGCTAAAACAGGTCTGGTTCATGGCATTCTCCAGATGACTGCGCACCATCTGCATTCAAATACCATCAGACCTTTTAACCCAGGACAAAACCACGTTCTACCACCCCAACCCAGCAGCTCTCCAGCTGGCAGATTGGTATTTGGGTGGACAACAAACTTAAAGCAATTGTGTTCTGCTGCTCTTCAGTCAGACCTTAGCAACAGCAAAAGAGACTCTACGGAGAAATGCTGTACAGCAAAATGGAAGAAATTTTTCTATATGATGCCAGCATTGATAGCTATCCCCAGAAGGTTCCAAAATTTCAGCTTTATTTGAGTCTCTCTCCTCTGAAAATGTTGGGATTGTCACTCAACTCCTTACGAGTGCAGTTGGCAGCATTTAGTGCTTTTCACCCATCGGTGGACAACAATACAATCTTTATCCATCCAGTTACAGAGAGATATTTGAATGGCCTTGTCAGAGCCTTTCCTTGTTGCTGATATGGGACCTCAATATAATCTTTGTGCCTGAATGAATGCTCCATGTGAACCTTTGGCCTCATGTTCCTCCAGTCATCTGTCTATGAAAGTTGTCTTCCTTGTTGCAGTGACCTCAGCAAAAAGTAGGAAAGCTGGAAGCTCTTATGGCAGACCCTCCATATACAGTCTTCCATAGTGATAGTTTCCCAAAGGATACATCTTAAGTTTATTTGGAAGGTGATCTTGGAATTACTATCTGAAGAAGGCCATCCACTTACCCGTCTTCTACCTGAAATCACGTGCCACCAGAGAGGACAGGACGCTCCATTCTCTGGATGTCTGACAAGCCTTGGCTTTCTACCTATAGAGGACAAAACCCTTTAGAAGATCCCCTAAACTATTTGTCTCCTTCATTGAATGTGTGACAGGAGAAGCTATCTCCATTCAGAGTCATTCTGAGTTGCATCCTGCTTTGCTTCGCACACCTGCTCAACAGGGTGTGAGAGCACACTCAATTAGAGCCCAGTCAGTTTCTGTAGCTTCACTATAGGACATCCCTCTTCTAGAGATCTGAGGAGCAGCAGTATGAGGCTCCGTGCATGCCTTTGCAAGGCATTACACCTTGGTGTAGGCTCCAGCAGCAGATGGCTCCGTCAGCAGAGCATACCTCCTATCAGTGCAGGGCTTTTCACGCCTTCCTCCTCAGTGAGTACTACTTGTGAGTCACCTCAAGTGGAGTAAACATAGGGACCATCCTTTGAAGAAGAAGAAAGAATGCAACTTACGTTGTACAGTAACAAGAGTTCTTTGAAATGTGTGGTCCCTATGTATATTCCATCACCTTCCCTGCTTCCCCTCTGCTTCAGATAATTATTTTAAGGTTATTCATGGTAGAGAAGAACAGGAGAAGTAATCGGTCCACATCACTGCTTATACCGTAAGTTGGGAGCAAGAGGAGAAGGGCACAGGCACAAACCGATGGACACTACTAATGAAAAATCTTCTAGTTTCAGGTGCATGGAGTGTATGCACGCCTCACCCAGGGATTACACCTCTCAAAACTCCAGTTACACCCAGGGATTATCCAAAGATAATACCTCTCAAAAGTCCATCACAATGCACAGTCAACCTGTGGAACTCCTTGCCAGAGGACGTTGTGAAGGTCAAGACCATAACAGGGTTCAAAAAAGAACTAGATACATTCGTGGAGGATAGGTCCATCAATGTCTATTAGCCAGGATGGGCAGGAATGGTGTCCCTAGCCTCTGTTTGCCAGAAGCAGGGAATGAGCGACAGGGGATGGATCATTTGATGATTACCTGTTCTGTTCATTCCTTCTGGGACACCTGGCACTGGCCACTGTCGGAAGACAGGATACTAGGCTAGATGGACCTTTGGTCTGACCCAGTAAGGCCATTCTTATGTACTATACAAACTAATCATTCTTTACTTATTTGTATGTTTTGTAAGATGTGTAGTCAGTATACATATTCCATGACCCATCCACCATCCCTACTTCAGAGTCTTCAGACAACAGGTTTTTGAGGTGGTGAAGGAACTGAGGTATACCTTTTTATACCTTCACCTGAGCACACAAGGATGTGAATGGAGCATGTGCCACCCCAGCAGACAGTGCTGACTAGAAAGATCTCTGGTGCATAGGCTCTAGATGTGTAACCACCAGCTGTGGGATACAAATACAGGCTACACATCTCTAAGAACATCACTTACTGTACAGTTAAGTAACCCCTCCTCCCCCCAACACTGAAAAAAGGCTCACTTTGATGGTCATTACTACTTGGAGTCTATAGACCATGGAGTTCCACCTGCTTTTCAGTGTTGAAATTGATTCATTAAGAGAAAAAATAATTTGTTACCTAGAATTGGATTTCTGCGAAACCACCCCAGCAATGGGAATAATCTCCCATGTTACATTTGAAAGTTACAATAGCATAACTTTTTTGAAGTTTGCTTTATTCTGGGGAGATGCTTGCATTGTCTGTTTCTTGAACAGATGACCCGTCATGGGTGAGAAGAGCATTTGAAGTGTGATTCATCCTGTATGTCAGTAATTGTGCAGATGGAAGACCCATGAGTCTATTTTGCTGATGCTGCATCATAGAAATCCCTATTATAAAATAGGAAAAACTGTCACTCATTTTTAGAATGTTTTTGCTGGTACTGTTTACTTTTTCTGACTCATTACAGCTATTAGTGCCTGCCAAAACTCTGACCACTTCCACGGAAATTAAAATTCACAGTTATAGTAGTCTAAATTTAAAATATGATAGACTAGCCAGCCAGCTCAGCAATGATCAATAATGACAGTAATGCATCTCTCAGATCCTGTACCCTACAACCTCTCCCACCTTAAGTACACTAGAAATTTTTTTTTTTTTTACTTATTTTTGAATGGAGGATTTAATAACATTTTTGTTTTACTTTAGGCAAAAGACCTTATAGAGAGATTTTTTAACCAACAAGTGGAAGTGCTGGGGAAACGTTCTGAACCCTTACCTGAAATATACTATATTGAAGGTACTCTGCAAATGGTATGGGTTAATCGCTGCTATCCAGGATATGGAATAAATGCTCTGATACATCCAGATTGTCCTGATTGTTGTGGTATGTGATAAATTTTCAAATCATACACATTATTTCAAGATAATTTTCACTTTGATTGAGCTCTATATATTGTTTAACTTCAGAGTAGTCATTCATACCCACCTTACAGTATTATCCTGTCAGCTCTCGCTGAAGCTAATCAAGATTGACCTGTTTTACCATTTTAGATGGATGTTTTCAAGGAACAGCATGATACTGCAGAAAGCGGTCTTGATGATTTAGGGTTTTTTTATCCATAATGCATTTAAGTCAGTGGTATTTGGATCAGATCCTTAGCTGGCACTCTTTCTTGTGAGTTAAGGCTAAACATATAACCCTGCAAAGTATTAAGGGGGTCTCTATGCTGTTCATGGTTCCATCTTTCAAGTGAGACGAAAAAAAAGGCTGACTGCTCTTTGTTGTTACTAAAGGCCCCTATGACATTCTTTGTAACAGCAGAAGTATTAACACAGTATCTTGGTCAAGTTACAAGTTTTGTAATTACATTTGGTTTACTTAAATTCCTTCTGTAGTTGCAATTGAAATTATGCCACATTTCCTGTTCTAACTAGTATGTAATGTGTAATACACTTTTACATAGTGCAGGGGTCTGCAACCTTTCAGAAGTGGTGTGCCGAGTCTTCAATTATTCACTCTGATTTAAGGTTTCGCGTGCCAGTAATACATTTTAACGTTTTTAGAAGGTCTCTTTCTATAAGTCTATAATATATAACTAAACTATTGTTGTGTGTAAAGTAAATAAGGTTTTTAAAATGCTTAAGAAGCTTCATTTAAAATTAAATTAAAATGCAGAATCCCCCAGAGTGGTGGCCAGGACCCAGGCAGTGTGAGTGACGCTGAAAATCAGCTCGCGTGCTGCCTTCGGCACAAGTGCCATAGGTTGCCTACCCCTGACATAGTGGTTCAAGCTTCACCCCAGGAATGGTTGAAATTTAAGTTGTGGATGAAATGATCCAGGTGAATAGCTTTCATATCAGTAAGTTAAATTTGTGTAGCACTTTTTGATCCATCAGAATGTAAGGTGTTACACTAATGTAAGATCTTTATCATTGGTGCTGATCATTTATCTGAAGCTTCCTGGTAAAGTTAACGAATTTTACAAAGAATATGTGCAAAGATCATTAGAACAAAACCTGGAAAATTAATTCAAAATTTTAGGAAAATATTGACAGGAATTTTTTTAATCATAGGAGAAATTAAAAAACCAAAAATAAAAGTTGGAAAGATGAAAGGTTAGAAGCCTTCCTTGCCCTCCACTTTTTCCCAGCATAGGGCGCATAGGTAACCCTTCTGCCCCTCTGAGTTGGCAGCAACACGGGCCGGGTTCAGTATCTAACATAAGAACATAAGAAAGGCCGTACCGGGTCAGACCAAAGGTCCATCTAGCCAAGTATCCTGTCTACCAACAGTGGCCAATGCCAGGTGCCCCAGAGGGAGTGAACCTAACAGGGAATGATCAAGTGATCTCTCTCCTGCCATCCATCTCCACCCTCTGACAGACAGAGACTAGGGACACCATTCCTTACCCGTCCTGGCTAATAACCATTAATGGACTTAACCACCATGAATTTATCCAGTTCTCTTTTAAACTCTGTTATAGTCCTAGCCTTCACAACCTGCTCAGGTAAGGAGTTCCACAAGTTGACTGTGCACTGCGTGAAGAAGAACTTCCTTTTATTTGTTTTAAACCTGCTGCCTATTAATTTCATTTGATGACCCCTAGTTCTTGTATTATGGGAATAAGTAAATAACTTTTCCTTATCCACTTTCTCCACATCACTCATGATTTTATATACCTCTATCATATCCCCCCTCAGGCTCCTCTTTTCCAAGCTGAAGAGTCCTAGCCTCTTTAATCTCTCCTCATATGGGACCCGTTCCAAACCCGTAATCATTTTAGTTGCCCTTTTCTGAACCTTTTCTAGTGCAAGTATATCTTTTTTGAGATGAGGAGACCACATCTGTACACAGTATTTGAGATGTGGGCGTACCATCGATTTATATAAGGTCAATAATATATTCTCAGTCTTATTCTCTATCCCCTTTTTAATGATTCCTAACATCCTGTTTGCTTTTTTGACCGCGTCTGCACACTGCGTGGACATTTTCAGAGAACTATCCACGATGACTCCAAGATCTTTTTCCTGACTTGCTGTAGCTAAATTAGCCCCCATCATATTGTATGTATAGTTGGGGTTATTTTTTCCAATGTGCATTACTTTACATTTATCCACATTAAATTTCATTTGCCATTTTGTTGCCCAATCACTTAGTTTTGTGAGATCTTTTTGAAGTTCTTCACAGTCTGCTTTGGTCTTAACTATCTTTAGCAATTTAGTATCATCTGCAAACTTTGCCACTTCACTGTTTACCCCTTTCTCCAGATCATTTATGAATAAGTTGAATAGGATCGGTCCGAGGACTGACCCTTGGGGAACACCACTAGTTACCCCTCTCCATTCTGAGAATTTACCATTAATTCCTACCCTTTGTTCCCTATCTTTTAACCAGTCTCAGTCCATGAAAGGACCTTCCCTTTTATCCCATGGCAGCTTAATTTACATAAGAGCCTTTGGTGAGGGACCTTGTCAAAGGCTTTCTGGAAATCTAAGTACACTATGTCCACTGGATCCCCCTTGTCCACATGTTTGTTGACCCCTTCAAAGAATTCTAATAGATTAGTAAGACACGATTTCCCTTTACAGAAACCATGTTGACTATTGCTCAACAGTTTATGTTTTTCTATGTGTCGGACAATTTTATTCTTTACTATTGTTTTGACTAATTTGCCTGGTACAGACGTTAGACTTACCGGTCTGTAATTGCCGGGATCACCTCTAGAGCCCTTTTTAAATATTGGCGTTACATTAGCTAACTTCCAGTCATTGGGTACAGAAGCTGATTTAAAGGACAGGTTACAAACCTTAGTTAACAGTTCCGCAACTTCACATTTGAGTTCTTTCAGAACTCTTGGGTGAATGCCATCTGGTCCCGGTGACTTGTTAATGTTAAGTTTATCAATGAATTCCAAAACCTCCTCTCGTGACACTTCAATCTGTGACAGTTCCTCAGATTTGTCACCTACAAAACCCAGCTCAGGTTTGGGAATCTCCCTAACATCCTCAGCCGTGAAGACTGAAGCAAAGAATCCATTTAGTTTCTCCGCAATGACTTTATCGTCTTTAAGCGCTCCTTTTGTATCTCGATCATCAAGGGGACCCACTGGTTGTTTAGCACGAATCTAGGGGTTCCGTTTCAATAATGCAATGCAAAACCAGCTCGAGCCCCCACCCAGTGACCTGGGACAATTACGTACCACCCCCCGGGCGCTTCTAGGAGGCAATACTTCCCCTCTTGCAAGCACGGAGTCTGAGTGTAGCAAAAGCCTTTTAATAAAGGAGGGAAACAATGCGGCATTATGTTGGGGAAACACCATAAACAGGATTCATAACACAAACCATGAGCAAAAGACCCACCTCCAAGTAAGTTTGGCAGTGTTCTTTTCCCCTCAGGGTCTTAAGTCCAATCACCCCAAAGTCCAACAACCCAAAAGTCTCTGCCCCGGTCAGTGCCGCCTCAGAGTTCAAAAGTTTATCTGCAGAGTTTTACCCCGCAACCTGGGCGGAAATGGGGGGGGCACACAGGGTGTTAAGAGGCACCTTACGTGGTCCGAGGCCGACTGCTCTGCCTCTCTGTGGAGTTCTGCTGCAGCCTTCACCACGAATGGCTCCGCTCTACCCGCCGCGCCGCTCCGCTCCTCCAGCTGCCCCTGCAAACTGCTCTGCTCCTCTCTGCTCCGCTCGCTTGCTGTTCTGTGAGCCGCTCCAACCGCCCCACAAACTGCTCGGCTCTGCCAGCTGCTCCACCAGCCATCCCATGAACTGCTCCAGCTGCCACCACAAACTGCTCAGCTCACTGTTCCGTGGGCTGCTCCAACCGTCCCGCAAACTGCTCCACTCTGCCAGCTGCTTAGCAATATATCTTCAGGCTCCCCCACTAGTTAACATAGCACTCAGTGATCTCAGCTCAGCAATTTTAGCTCTTTTAGTGATTTTAACTCTTAGTGATTTCAACTTGTAGTAGGGGAGCCCCAGTGCTGGTGCACTATTGGCCCAAAGTGAATTTAGCTCAGCAATCTCTAGCTAGACTTCTAATAGAAGCAAAATTAGCTCTGCTATTCAACAGTGGAGAGAGGGGGGTAGTGTAATTGGTGTTCCAGGCCCTCAAAGGGGGCCCCATACCATTAGGTACACATACCTATCCCCAATCTTTCTCAATTCACTGGGTTTTGTAACCCATGCCCCTTGTCTAGCGAGTGCTACTTAGTTAATGGTGAGTCCCTCTGTCATACAACAGTTCCACTGGCCTTGATTCACAAAATCAGGGTAACAACACTTTATTCTTCCTGCCCCAATAACAGAGAAACTGGAAATCCCACACCAGCCAAAATAACCACTTCCAGTTGCTGTTGTCCCAGGCTAGGCGGGTGGGTGTGCCTATGCAAACAAGATCAGCCCCTGAAGTTTTTTTCCACCCTCGCCATAATTTACCACCAGATGTCAGGGTAGAGCTCATCCTGATTCTGCTTACATTCATATATATAAAAAACCCTCTAGATTTGTAGAATGAGCATGCAAAAGAGACAGTTCTAGAATATACTGGAAGGGGAAACAAAGAATGGGCCAAATATTGCTCACTTTATTCATACAAGTTCTCTCACTAAAATCAGTGGGATCACACACTTGAGTAAAGTGACCAAGGTTTGGATCATCATTTTAAAAAGTTACTTTGACTCTAAATTGTTCTTAGATTGTTTTCCTTAATAGTGTTCAAATTATCTCAATTAGACATTGAGGCTGAAATCTCAATAGTATGGTGTAATGTAGAAGTATACAGAAGAATAGAATAAAGCTGCACTTGGTCTTTTGGTGAAGGCAGTTTCCTGCATGGCTGGAGAACAGGGAAAGAGAACGTAGCTTTCAAGATGTAATCCAATCTAG